GGGCGGTAATGAGTCTGTCGCCTAATGGGTAGCATCATGAGCGCTTGAACGGATAGACGTAGCCATGACCGGATACCGAAACGGGCCTTGACGGTCAAGAAGGGACGTACCGTACATACGGTAAGACATGACGTCCAAAGCCTGGCCTCGCTTCTCTTCCGGTGCCGCGACAAAAGTCATCTGGCAGCAGGGGTCTGGCCCCTCGTCCATGTTCTGAGACAAGAGATACGCCCTGGAAAGTATCGGTACGCCTACTGTACAGGGCCATGCTCACTTGTCTAGGTGCTGTGCTCTTCCCTCTGCGGTGCTGAGTCGGCTTGGAGAAATGCCGTGGGGCCAGACCTCGGAGGCCACCAAGAGGAGCGACAACACCCACGAACATACCGGGTACGCAGCAGAGGGAACCGACTCGTCCCAATCGTGGACTGCCATGTAGTTGCTTCGATCCTCCCGACTACCTGCGACGTCTCTCACAGCATCCTGCCTCCTGATTTGGCGTGCTGGCCATCTCGTCCGAAGCAGCCATTTATGAACAACACTCGAGGGGTGCCGTCATGAGGACCTGCAGGGCACTGGTTGCTCATCCGTCTGTGGCCCAAACCCGACCTGACAGGGCCTGGAATGGCTCTGTAGGTTGTCTCGCCTGGCTCGTCTCGCCCAGAGTCCTATTCGACAAACGCCCCCCCTTCCTCTGAGGACCCCTCTTACTTCTTGACAGAAGAGGCTAGTGGCTTTTCAGGACACTTGTCGAGCCCAAGGTACCCGTACCTCTTTCGGCGATGGCCAGCCACCATCAGGCTGGTTGTCCCTGATCCCTGCACACCCTCCCCCGACTAACCTGGTCCTGGTCCTGGCATCCCCCCCCCGGGCTGCCCTACGGGACCCCCCCCTGGACTCTGTTTCTCGTCAAGGTTGTCCTGTGCCTCGCCGCGCTGTGTTGTGGATGGTCCCTTTGCGATCCGCGTCCGCGTCCACCGGGAACATGGACCACCCACACAACCCATGTGCCCCCCATTCGATGTCTCTCTCTCGCACCGCAATGCCCATGGTTCATCACCAGTCTATATCAGTCGCCGAGTCCCCCCCCCCAAAGCCCCTCACCGTGATGTTTCTCGCCCCCATCAACCATCACTACCCTCACAAGTAACAAGCACATCTCGAACCTCAGAAGGGAAGACTGAACAGCACCCAGCACCCACCAGGCTACCCTCGTTACCAACCTTCGCTACTCCATCCCATCGTCCGCTCACTCTTCATCATCGCTACACAGCACTTCCCACTCGTCAGTTCAGAACCAGACTAGACAGCGAATTGGTCTCACAAGCACGCCTATCGAAACCAGCTTGTCTTCTCCAGCAGCTTTAGAAGAGACTCAGACCGGGCCCTTGGCATGCCTTCGGATCAGGTGAGCTCGTTGCTCTCTCCAAGGCCCCACTGTCAAGCGCGGCCTGCCTGCGAGACACGCAAGACTAATCCACTCATCAGTGACGGCACGAGTAATTTGACACTGCTGAGCACGACCCAGAACCAACCAGCTTCGGCTCATATATCTCTGCCGACCCAGCAGCACCAGACAGAAGAAACACCAGACGTAGAAGCAATGGTCTCTCTACAACACACTTACACCATGATGTCCCGCCAATCCAGCAGCGAGCACGGAGACTTCAACTCCTACCCTGAGCCGCCTCATGGCTTGTTCGCCTCATCACAGATGGACATGAGCATTCCTACCAGCTCGTACATGTTTCCCGCGTCCATGGGATTTGAACAGGCCACAACCTACGCCGACGCGACACAGTACGTTTACAACGGCCAGCAATCACCAGGCGTTTTTGAGGAAGGTGACCTCCAGATGCCACCCTCCAACCACTCCACAGCCTCGGCCTGTTCTTCCAACGCCGGTTCTCCACTCTCCCACCACGGCCAGATAGGCATGAATCCCGAGTGGACGCAACACGGTCTTGGACTCACACCCGGCATCGTCCCCAGCGACTTCTACAGTGCTGCCGGGACCGAGTACACGTCCTACACCGCACCAGGTATGGAGGACTTCACTTTCGAGTTCCCGAGCACCAAGCCACACGGCTTTGTGGGTGAGTTGCCAGACATCTCTAGGACTCCTGTTCAGCCGCAACCTACTTCTCTGTCTTCTCCTTCTGTTTCCTCTGTTGCTCGCGACACCGAGAGCGAGACTGCCCTTGCTGTCGACACCAAGATGCCGCCACCACCGCCAACCTCTCCTTTGTCATTTGTCTCTCCTAGCTCTGCTTCCTTCTCGTCCCCTGTCGTCCCAGCCTGGCCGGCCTCGCCGCGAACACCACGCGTGCCCCCTTTCTTCTCTCAAAGTAGCGGTCTCTTCACGGCACCCCTCGAGTGTTCTTGTTGGTTTCTCCTCTGTCCTCTAATGCCTCGATCCTTGCTCCGAGCAGCGCGCTGACCACTATCCAACCAGACCCATCCCTGATCCACCCAGAGATCAGCCGGCCCGTGGCCATGCCTGGTTACGAGGCCGCTTACCACCACGCCTATCCCGCGTCTCCCTCCGCCTCCTCCTCACCTCAGCCCGCCGCCCGCAACGCCAGCCGGTCTCCCTTCCTCCATGAGGGCTACCAACCGCACTACAGCCCCTACAGTGCGCCTCTGGACGGCCGCAGGCCAAGCATTCACTCGTTCCAGTCTGGGTACTCCGAGGCCGGCAACGCTTACAGCGGCGACGAGACCAAGGAAAAGCAGCGCTGCCCGCATCCCGACTGTGGCAAGACGTTCAAGGATCTCAAGGCGCACATGTTGACACACCAGAACGAGCGCCCCGAGAAGTGCCCCATCCAGACGTGCGACTACCACGTCAAGGGCTTTGCCCGCAAGTACGACAAGAACCGTCACACCCTCACACACTACAAGGGCAACATGGTCTGCGGCTTCTGCCCCGGCTCCGGCACCCCTGCCGAGAAGTCATTCAACCGTGCCGATGTGTTCAAGCGCCACCTCACGGCCGTGCACGGCGTCGAGCAGACGCCTCCCAACAGCCGCAAGAAGACATCCGGTGCCAACACGGGCAAGAAGCTGACCGGCTACCCGCCCGACGCCACCGGCAAGTGCTCGACCTGCTCGCAGACCTTCTCGAACGCGCAGGACTTCTACGAACATCTCGACGACTGCGTGCTGCGCATCGTGCAGCAGGAGGACCCGTCCGAGGCCAACAACGCGCGGCTGCTCGCCGAGGTGGAGAACGACAAGAAAGGTGCACCAGACGCTCGAGCGCAACAACCTCCCGACGCAGACCATGTTGACGACATGCAAGACAACAGCGATGACGAGGAGGATGACTTTGGACATGGACGAGGACGGACGAGGACGAGGCGTCCAAGGACGAGCTCAGTCTGGTCACGCAAGCGCAAGGCGGAGCGGCATGATCAGCGGCGCCATCAAGTCCCGCGGCATGACCCACTCGCGCGGTGGCGTGCCAGGGCGTGTCGACAAGAGCAAGGGCCGTAAGAGCAAGCAGCAGCGCCCCAAGTCGTGGGACCTCAACAAGGACCTCGTCAAGATGAAGAAGCGCGTGCTCGGCGTGTTTGACGGTCCTCGCCGCCTGGCCAAAGACGACATGGTGCTGTCGACGGAGCACGAAGTCCGCATCAAGCTCCAAGACGGCAAGTCGTACGTCACGGACCTTGACATGTTCACCGTCATGCGCGCCGAGGGCTTCCACGGGGCCACGGACGCAGAGAAGGGTGCCTGGGTGTCAGACGACCCGACCCCGGAGCAGTACCAGCAGATGCAGGCCCTGCTCAAGCAGGAGTCGGTCGAAGCGTGAGGGGCTGGCGGAGATGAGGGGGGCCCCCTGGCAGTGCCGAGTGGGCGAGCAGGAGAAGGAGGGTGATGACGCACAAATGTCTAATACACACTACATACGTCTGCTTTCCTTCTTTTCGAACAGGTTTCTTTCGAAAAGGATTTGGCAGGTCCGGGAAAAGGGACACCACCAGACGGGGACGCCAGCTGGTGGGGAAAGGGATTTGTTTAGAGGCACGGACAGGCGCTTTTGGGGTACGGGGTTCATGGCTTGACTGATGCCTGATGAGGGTTTTCTGTTTCCACTGGGAAGGGTAACGCGGTCATGACCATGGGAAAAGGACGGGGAGGTGAAAGGTTCCCCCCCCGCCCTCATCTTTTTCCTTCTTCTTCCACTTTTTTAACGGGCTACGAAACGGGAAAGTAGTTGCCGTCGGATTGATACCCTCTGGACCATTTTGTATCCTTCTTTTTTCTTCTTGGCCAATTTCCATCACGCGTTACTTCAATGCTCTTTCTTCAACCAGTGTGTTCCTGGTGCCAATGCGTCAGAGTATACTACATAATTCATAATCAAAATGAGGCGAAGAGAGAGACGCCGTCTTTTGCACACACTTTCTTGCCATGGCTTGGGTGATTTGATAGTCAACAGCTAACGGGGGAACCACAAAGATGACGACGAGACCGAGTCTCGATCTGGCAAGGCCCCGGGCCCCTCCCCTCGCACCTTGACCTGCTGAACCCTCTAGGGTCCGAAATGGAGAAAGGGCAGGTAGCGTGCGCGCCAACGACGGCGAAGCTATCGCAAACCCAGGGTTAGCGGGGAGGAGGAGCATCGATAAAGACGGAGGGGGTGGTGGTTGCTTGAGGAGGTAGGGGGAAGCTAGGAGGAGGAGCAAGAGGAGGAGCAGAGAGGCATGTCTGGCTGAAGGCGGACGTGAGGATCGTCATCTTGCAACGGTGCGGAAATGTGGAGTGTGATCTGCACATCGATTCATGACCCCGTTTCTTTTATTTTCCTTTTCCTCTGTCTCCCTCTCTCTCTCTCCCTCTCTCTCTCTGCGTGTGTGTCTGTGTGTTTGTGCGTCTGGGCTGGTGGGGGGAGGAGTCCCGGTACTGAAGAAATGGCTGACTGGCGTTTTGTGGCTCTTGGTTGGCTCGTTCGGTCCAACATCGTCGTGGCCCTCTCTACCTACCTAGGTAAGTACCTAGGCACTTACCTTACTGCAGCGTACCTGGGCAAGGGGATACAGAGGAATGGGGCCAAGAGGTGTGGGGTTCACCGGGATGGTTGGTTTAGCCAAGTGTGTCGATTCTGCCTCGTTGTGTCAGAGTCAGCAGTGGAGACTCTCCCTCTGCCTCCTCCTTCTCTTCGGGCTATTTTTCTGACATGCTCTTATCGTTTAGTCTCTTCGTTTGTTCTCGATGAATATTTGCTTGGGAATCGGTAGGGTTGCGGCATTCGGAGACGTGGGTAGGTAGAGGCAGGGGTAAGGAGAGAAGGGGAGTGGAGGGGGGGGGGGTGAGTGAGAGGGTAATGAGGAGGAGCGAACCAGGGCCACGGGCGATGGCGATGGCGACAGCGGCGGGCTGGTGGGAGATTCGAAGATGGGCGTCTGCCGAGAAAGTCAGCGAGCAAAACTGCAGGCCCTCGTCCGTCGTTCCCGGCGGCCGAAATTCGCCATGTTGATGTTCGTCTGTTTGGTGATTCCACCCCGCGCAAAAAGGCCCGTGAGAGGAGTACCATGTACCATGTAGTTCGGTAGGCTGGTAAGCCCGTATGGAGAGATCAGATGACCAACGAGTGAACTCGCTTCGGTTGGTGTTGTTCTTGTCCCCCCCTCCCCCCCCCACTGCAGCTCACTTGTCGTCTGTTTGTTGCTTGCCCCTGTCGAGCAGAGCACGAAGCAAAAAAAAAAGAAAAATGTGGGCCTGTCTTGTCCGTCGATCGGCGACGCCGCGGTAGGTGTGTGTGTGTGTGTGTGTGGCAGGAGGTACGGTACCTACCTAGGTATTCAAGGGGAGGTACAGTGAGAAAGGGTGATTGCTTTGCTGCACCTGCACCCACCTCCCTGGCACCTGCATCGATCGGGTCCCGGGGGGAGGGTAAGACGGTGCAATGGCAACCCGTCAAGTGCGGCGTAGCAAGCTGTTGGCCCTCACGATGAAGGGTTGGGAGGGCGGAAAGGACAAGTCACAGACAGCAGGAGGCAGGCAGGCAGGCTCGGTCAACCATTCAGTCAATCGGGTCATCGTAGTGTAGGGGGTGTGTGTGTGCGGGGGATCCACCCGGGTGCAGGGCCAGGGGGTGGGGGGGATTGTCTGGTACGCATCGGCCTATCGGAGCACCTTATCGTCTTGTCAGAAAATCGAGGGGGATGTGCAGCAGGCATCTGGACGGCAGGTGTGGCTTGGCTCACTGGCTTGGGTTCTTGCTGTGACCGTGTGGGAGCGTAAAAGAAGGGAGGTCGCCGACGGCAGTATCCGGCGGCTCTGTCGTGTCGGTGCAGGTGGCGGGCGGTGGCTGCTGACTGGTGGCTTGCGCACCCAATTCTGCTCCTCTCCCTCTCTCCCCTCTCCCCTCTCCCTCTCTCGGAGCCTTTTCTGGGCGTCCCGGCGTGCTTAGTTGCTGGCATATTGGGTGCGGTGGAGATTATGGCTGTTCGTCGCTATTTCTGGCCCCATGCCAGGGGTGGGCAGTTGAAGGAAGGAGGCGCGGGTCACTGCATCGACGTGGCGGTGCACCCTGCGTCAGAAAACCCCCCAAGAACCAAAACGGTGGTGCATCTGCTGCGGCGAACCCTTTTCTTCGAGAATGCATTGCATTTGCACTGCCCGTACGGGCTGTCCGCCCCCCCTCTCCCTCCCCTCTCTTCAGGAATCCAACAATAGATTGCAGCACGCAGGCCTCCCGAAAGTGGCGGTCTGGTGATGCCGCTGCCGGACTGCCGGGTCATCCGTGGATCATCCATCCCATCGGGACTTTTTCGTTTCCGCCGTGCATCTCGATCCCCGCCGTTTTGCCGGTCGCCGTTTGACCCCGTTGCCGTTAGCATCAGTATTAGCGTGGGCGTTACCGTCACCCATCGTCAACCGTCCCGTTTCGCCCATGTACCTCACAGCACACACCATTTTGTCACACAAGGCTGCCGCCCCCCAATAGCGAGACAACCATCGTCATGGACCTCACCTCTCGCATAGCCCTGACAGGGCCTCCTGCAGACTCGCCCGAAGACTTTCTCTCCTCCGCCTTGGCGACTCTGGACCCCGACGACCAACCACACATCCACGGCGATTCGGATCATGATCTGCTCTACACGTCGCCGCATCTGCCCAAGCCTTTTACCCTGGCGCTGGCCGATCCCGCCACCGAGCATGACCGTAGACTTTTCAGTCATTATCTCTGGAACTCGTCCCTCCTCTTGGCAGAACTCATCGAAGCCGGCTCCTTGCCTTCACCCCTCACTCACCCAACCAGTGGCCCCTCACCTCTGGGGCCCCCTTCTTCGGCCTTCAATGTCAAGGGCCTTGCGACTCTCGAGCTCGGCGCTGGTACGGCCTTGCCGAGCCTCCTCGCCGCCCTCCTCTCCGCCCGCCGCGTTGTCGTCACGGACTATCCCGCTCCCTCCGTGCTCGAGACCCTGCGTGCCAACGTGGCCCTCGGCGCTGTCCCGGCCGCATCGCCCACGTCCACCGTCGCTCCCGAAATCACAGTCGAGGGCCACGCCTGGGGCGACCTGACAACACCGCTCGCCATGTCCTCGGCGCATGCCTTTGATCGTCTCCTCGTTGCCGACTGCCTGTGGATGCCCTGGCTGCATGACGCGCTCCTCGCCTCCGTCAGCCACTTCCTCGCCGACACGGCCGATGCCCGCGTCTGGATCGTCGCCGGCTTCCACTCTGGACGTGAAAAGATGCGTCACTTTTTCGAGGCCGACTTCCTGGCCGCCGCGGCCCTTGAGGTCGAATCCATCTGGGAGCGGGATGTCGCTGGCGTCGAGCGGGCCTGGGTCGACGAGAGACCAGGCGAGGAGGGCGCGGGCCGGAAGAGGTGGCTTGTCGTCGCCATCCTGCGGCGGACCGGCTTCGGGGCGTCTAAGGCGGAGGCGTGAGCATCTTTATGCTCTTCCTTCGGTCCTTCAATCGTTCATTTGTTCATTCGGGCGTTCATTCTAGTTCGGTCGTTCGGTCGTTCGGTCGTTCGGTCGTTCATTCGTTCATTCGATCGGTCTATCGTACCCCTCCAACCTGCAGCGCGGCAGCACGTCTCCCTGTACCTTCTTATATACTGCGCCCCAGCTCAGGAGAACAAGAAAGCAGACAAAAAAAATGTGCTCGCTCGCCCGAGGTGAAACAGGATCATCTCCCGTCCGGCAGACTTTCTCCTCTCGGCTTCCTTAGCTTCCTTGCGCCGGCGCCGTGGTAGCGTCACCTTCCTCCGTGCGGCTGAGGCCGCTGCCCGTCTTGGCCGGCATCATTGGCACGCCTCCCATCTATAGCGCTTCGGATGACGTTGCTGCCGGTCTTGGGAACAGCGCATAGTCTGCCATTCCATTCCCCTTCGCGTCCCCCTCATGGGAATTGGCATAGACCATGGCGCTCATGGACGATTCTTGAAAAAGGCCAAGGCCCCTCGACGATGCCCGAGGCCGCTCTGCCCCTGGAGTTTGGTGGGCGGTGGCTTTACTAGCCTGCTAGCTCGTCGTGTAGCCGTGACAGCTGAGTTCAGCTCGCGCGGCAATGAGGAAGTGATCGACAGGGTCCACGTCAATAGGCCGCCCAGATCTAAATAGTCTCCTCGCACGAGGGCAATATGCTCGCGTGGGTCGACTTCGCGGCAGACCGTTCTTGTTGTTGTTCTTCGTCTTGGTCTAATTTGCGTTGATCGTGCGTAGCTGCCACGACTGTCTGCAACAAGACTGCTACTGGATGGACTGTATTGGGCCTTTTCTTCCAGGAGGTGCATAGCCTCGTGGTTTCCGATACTCTACTCAACGGAGTCTTAGATCCGCGCTGTAGACATCGCCGCGACACCAAGACGTTGAGAGCCAGGCATGAACACGTCTACGGCTGATGCATTTTCTCTAGAAATTGGTTACGTAGTGGATGACTAGTGATCTCCGTGCTATTGAACCGTCGCCAAGCCAACATAAGACTAACTGTTCATACATATCATGCTCATGACTTGTGCCTCGCCGCTTCCCGCTCCTCTCTCGCCGTTCACTGTGCTGCTTCATTGGTCGGGCCCATCTCGTCGATCCGGACAATCAGCTCATGGTTGACCCGCAAGTTCTCGGCCGAGCTCAAGGCCTTCATGACGGAGCTCTCGTGTTTCTCCTGCATGAGCCGCCGCAGCCGCCTGACGAGGAACCCGGCCACAATGTCGACGGACCACCCGTCCGGAATGAGGCCCAGAATGTCATCAATCTCGAACCAGCCACCGAATCTCTCGAGCAGCGCGCCCGTCTGTTCGACGCGTTCGCTCACATCCGCAATCGTGAGGAACTCGCCCAGCACGGCGCGGAACAGGCGCGCCTGCATCTCGTGCGTCGGCATGCTGTCCTTCCTGCCGCGTGACAGCGGCGTGTAGATGCTCGATCCACCACGCAGGCAGTACGACACGGCCGTGTCGAAGTCACCCAGTTTGTGGACGAGCAGCCGGATCGCGTCTTCGTGGGCGTCGTTCTCGGCCATCGAGAATGATGATCTCGGGAACAAGCAGCTCGCCGGGCAGAGACTCGATGCTGGCACGGACCGTGGCGGCATCGTAGTCTTCTGTGCCGCCCAGGAGTTGCAGCAACCGCAGACGGCTCTGCCATACCTCATCATCCTTCGGTGCGTTGTCGGTCAAAAAGTGACGATAAGTCGACTTGGGGGCCTGGAGGGCGCGATACGCGTCGTACGTGGCCGCAAACGCTTCTCTGCTTGTCTGCGAGGAATGCAATTCGCCAGTGACAATGTCGAGATAGTATGTGATCAGGTCGTTGACGTAGCCAGTGTGGCCTTTTCCGAAGACGAGATGCTCCAGGTAATACTTGACCGCGGTAGGAGCTTCGGCGCGAAGCAAAGCCACAACGGTTGTAGGCTCGAACCTTGGCGCTCTTCCCTTGTCCTCTGCGAAGACCTGGACACCCAGTTTAGGGTTGCGGTTGGCCAGCCAGAGGCCATACTCTTGCACGAGCGCCTGGCTGTTGATCTTCATAAGATATTCGCGAACTCGCTGCTCGCCGTCGCGCAGCTCGCCGCCATCATCACGTTCACCCTCTATGATGCGCCGCCAGACAGCCAACACGTCGCCAGCCATCTTACGACTTTGGTAGAGTCGGCTCAGGACGAAAAGTCGGTGGTAGGATTCGAGTAACGACACAGCCCGATCGAAGCAGTCGACGCCCTTGTCCACAACTTCGTTCAGTTCGGCTCTGATCGTTGTGCTGCTGCGGGCGATGCCCTTGGGTGCATCTCGATCCAGTTCGAGCAGCACGATCAGAAGCGCCGCATCTACGGAGCGCAGAACTTCTTCCTTGTCGGGAATACTGCCAAAATCCTTCTTCTTTCTCCATGATCCTAGGAACCGGCGCAAGAATTGAATGACACGGGCATCCAGGCTCCCAAGGGTGTGCTGACTTCGATCAAATGAGTGGCTTCGCAGATACTGCTCAGCAGCCTTCTTGACGCCGCTAAAGACCCATGTCCCCCTCTTACTCTCGATGATTTCATTTTGAAGTCCTGGTACCAGTGATAAAATAACGCGTGCGTCGAGAGCACTGTCCAGGAGTACCTCCTCGAGCGCCTTGACTTCTCCGTCTGAGAAGGAATCATCGCTCGGCTGTAGCAGATCACCAAACAGCAACACAGCCGCTCGTTGGCGGATGTAGCTGAACGTCACAAACTCTAATTCCGTCTTGGGCTCTCTTCCTCTTATGGAATTCAACGCTGTGAACACTGCACGGCGATCCAAGGCTATGCGGCCAGTCTCCCCGTCGTGTGTACAAGCAGCGTCGATGCGAGCCTCCAACTGGAGAAGAATCGGGTTACGGACCGCCCACCAGATGTGGTTTCCAGCCCACACGGCCACTCGGGATTGCGTCTTCGCGAAGCGCGCTACAAATGCCTCTTCTTCGGCATTCCGACTGCTCTGCCATCCATCAGGCAGTGACTCCTTCCTCTGCGTATCATTGTCTCTGTCGAACAATTCGCGTTCCCTTGATACACGCTCTAGAGACGAGGCAGTACGCGAGTCTGCACTCTTAAGGGACAATGTCGAAGGCTCCAAACTGCCCAGGGAGAAAGGCGAGAACTTTCGCTGGCATATCCTGTCCACGATCTCGGAAAAGTGCGTCTCTTCTTCGCCAATCATAGATCGGATTCCCAGTGTTACACTCGCTTGTTCGATGCCGGGTATTGATTCAGCTTCAAGCCAGAATTTTGAATTGTCGGGCTCACTCCCATCGCCGTCCCATCTCTGAATCTCGATACCGTGGCGCATTTCTTTGTCAACCTCCCTTGCCATCGAAGCGAGTAGATAGCCCTCCTCTGCATCACTGGGCGATGTCTGTGATGACGCCAGATCGGATGAGCCCCCATCCACAACAACCTCGCGGGGGTAACGCTCAAACTCAACAGTGGGCCTCGTAGGGTCACCGTCTAGATTGACAAATAGGCCGATACCCGGCTCTGAGAGCCCTGTGCCTGTAACAAGCAAGAACTCGTCAGGCGTCGGTGACACAATGTGCGGCTTGAGGAAAACGGGCTTGGCCTTCGGAGGCGCAGCGGGCTCTGAAGCTGGCGGTGCCTCCTGCGCCTCTTGAGTTGGCGCTTCAGGCAAGGGCTTGTCGTTTTCTGAAGGCGGCGGCAAATGGGGGCCATGCGGCGGTCGTGGGCTAGCAGAGGGTGTGGGAGGTGATGAATCCGAGGGCCGAAGAGGCAAGCTCCCCCCTAGACTCGTGCTTCTGCTATGGCCCTGGGCTTGGGCTGCCTGCAGCGGCCTGTTCTGCACGGCAGAAACGCTTCGCAAGATACCCCCTTCAACGCTGCCGGCAATGTTCTGAGCCTGACCGATCTCTCCGCCGGGTTGGGAGTCATCGAGAGACGATATGGTCATAAGCGGGATCTTGAGCTGCCGGGTGACGTCCAGTAAGGAGTAGCTCCTGGAATCTGCCACGCAGGCGATTGTGTCACGACGGACGGAAATAGTGCTACCGCCGACATCTATGTTCTGCTAACCATCAGTATGGTCTTCGCTACAGCTGGGTGCGTAATGACCTACCTTGATAGCCCTGGGATCATCACCTATCCGTACCACCTGGATTCTACGGTTGAGGGACAGTAATATTGTGACCGGATCGTCGGCGTCGGGGTCATCTTGCGGGTCGTTCAGGTCAACACCGCCGACCCAGTTGCAGTTCTTGACCTGTGTAGTGCCAAAGACAGGGCTGAGTTCAGGCAAGGAGTAGAAAGTGACGGTCCAGTTGCACAGGATGCATGCTTTGGACACTCGGGGCAGCAGCAAGATCTGCTGCACACCTGGCTTCGTATTGTTGGTCTCAGCAAAGGGAGGCTGGAGTCGGGACGCCAGGATAAAGGTTGGTCGGCCAGAGGGATCGGAGGGGTCGGGCGGGATTTGGACGAAGTGAAGTAGCTCAGATGCGCTCGTTCCTACGTATAAGTTGTGGTCTATAATATGGCAACGTTAGTCGCAGGCCGGCTAGAAAGCACACACCCTAGATAGCGTACCAAAATATTCGACACAGTTGATCTTCACGTCTGTCACGGGACCATCCGCCGAGAGGGGTACATCTTCCAGAAGGGTTCGTAGGACATAAGGCCCGTCCTGGAGGCGGGCCAAGTCAAGCTGTCGGGGCGATTGCTCCTTGACGGGATCATCAGAAGCCATGTCGTGTCAGATTTTTCAGTGTCATCGGCATTGCTTCGCCATGCTTGCCAGGCTGCTCGGTTGGACGGTGGTGCTGAGAGTCGCTCGAACGCTGATGCGGCCGAGGCGATGCTGCCGGGGAGTTCGTGATGGGGCTGGAGCTTGGCGGGTGAGGTGCTCTCACACAGGTTGGTTCAAGCCAGGCAAGCCAAGGCGAGGCAGGGGTAGGTACAGGTAGGTTCCTCGACCGACCTATGTACATGTAGGTGCCTACGTACGTACGTACCTACGTAAGGTACCTTGGGTACCTACCTAAGCTAGGCAGGTAAGATAACCACTTGATTACGATTACAGGTCAGGTACAGTGGACTGCGGCCATTGCAGCCACTGACAGGAGCTCTAGTGGAGGCGGAGATTCGTGCCTGGCTAGCCACCTACGGCGCGACTGATCCACGTCCAACGCAGGGAGCCCGCCTCAGGCCACCTAGCAGCCAATCAGGTGCCAGGTCCAGGGCGCTGCCGGGAACGGAACACGTTCGTCAGGAGCTCCATCATGAAATGGAACCAGAACAAGTCGCACCCCGAGATTCAATCTCATCGACATCATTAGTACCGAAGCCCAACGACCTTGCTGTAACCATCGCATCGACCAGCTCGACGCTGTCTCGTCTTTTCCCCTTTGGGTAATGAGTTGAGTTGATCCGCCAAAGGTAGCCACCACTGCTCCGAACACCGAACACAACCATGGCCGACATCGAAGCTCTGGTGTCAGCTCAGGCAGGCCAGATCGACTCTACCAACCCCGCGACCGAAGATGCGCCCCGACCCGAGGGCGACAACAAGTTCCAGCATGCCATCTCGGCCTGGAGGAGTAAGAACCACCACAGCTCACGGCTCAGGGAACGAGATCGTTAACGCCCCTCTCCAGCAATCGACTACACAAACCTCATCTCGAACCTAGACAACACTGCCTCAGAGATCGTCACGTACCAGAGAGATTCCACTATTCAGCGGAAGGATCTTGCCCAGAAGACAAAGGACTTTCGAAAGCTCGACGATGGTGCCAAATTGACCGAGATCAAGGGCTTGTTGAAAGGTATTCGAGGCCGCGTCATCCAAACGCAAACTCCTTGCTAACGTTGCCGTGTCAAGCCTACCAGGGATTCATCGATCTGGTGACGAACCACTCCAAGTCAATCAACTCGACTTTCCTCCAGGCGTACACCTCTCTATCCGAGGCCCCTGACCCATACCCGCTGCTCGAGGCCTCTGTGGATGCCATGCTAGTGTCAGAGGACACGGTGCCAAAGCTATCCGAAGAAAACGAGCGCCTACAGCAGTCAGTCAGTACGCTGACGTCACAGTTCGAGGATACCGAGGCCAAACTACAGACGGAGACGACGGCGCGTCGGGAACTGGAGAACAACCTCGAGACCCGAGTCAAGGAGGTCGAGGCCACCTGGACTGCTGTGGTCGAAGAGAAGAAGGGCAATTGGGAGGCCAAGGAGAAGGCTCTGGAAGACAAAGTAGAGAACCAGGAGCGCCTGCTGAACGAAATCAAAGCCAGCTATGAGGTCAGCCAACGCCTCGGCAAGACTGACGACGGCGAGGAGTCGCAGGGTGGTCATGTTGCAAGCGCCGAACTCGAGATGCTCAGATCCGACGTTGAGCGCACGAGTGCCCGCCTGGCCGAGATGGAGGCCAGGAATGAACAGCTGCGCCTAGACCTGGCCCAGGCCAAGACTCAGGCCTCGGCATCGTCTGCTACAACGCTCGAGGACGATCCTGGCTACATGCGAATGCGATCAGAAAACTCCTCTTTGATGCGTAAGCTGGATGCCTCTAGGGTCGAGAAGGACGGCATGAAACGCGATCTCGACACCAGACTGCGCTCCATAGAGAGAGAAGTCGGCCTACTGAAGGAAGAAAGAGACAATCTCAAGGCAAAGGTCCAGAAATGGAGCGACTACGACGACGTGAAGCAGGAGCTCGAGGTTTTGAAAAGCATCGAGTTTGCAACAGGAGAAGAAGATGACGACGTCACGGAGACAAGTGGCGAAGACAGCTCTACCGCCAAGCCAGGTAGTGATACTCTCGAGAAGCTCCTGCTGGCGCGCAACAAGAAGCTTGGCGATGAGTTGACCATTCTACGCGTCTCGCATCAAGACCTGCAGTCCAAACTGCAGGACCTCCAGGAAGAGCTGTCTCGAACCAACGCCGATCTAGAGAGGTCGCAAAACCTCAACGAGAAGCTAGAGAACGATCTAGCCGATGTTCAGTCGGAGTCAACCAATGCCTTCCCATCCGGTGCCTCGGTGGCCATGAGCAGATACGCGCCATCGGTTGCCCCTGGCAGGAGGGGCGGGGGAAGGATTTCTCCAACCTCTTCCATCATCAGCGGCATCGATCCCCGCATGGGCGGTGGCGAACCCATGGGCGGCGGATCAGGCATCCTGCCCATGGTCACGGCGCAACGTGATCGTTTCAAGAAGAAGAACGCCCAATTGGAGGGAGAGCTTTCAGAGACGCATCGGACAGTGTCACAGCTTCGGCAAGAGATCGCCTCTCTGCAGAAGGACAATCTGAACTTGTACGAGAAGACTCGATACGTCTCGACGTACAACCGCGCTGGTCCATCGGCGGCGTCGTCATCGGCAGCGTTTGGCTCGAACCCTAACCCCTCGACGGTGCCCATTGGCGGCTCCGGCACACCGGGCATGGCCATGGACAGATACCAGAAGGCGTACGAGTCCAACATTTCACCGTTTGCACAGTTCCGCGGGCGAGAATCGGCGAGAGCGTACAAGAGGATGAGCCTACCCGAGCGCATGGTGTACACGATCACGCGGATGGTGCTTGCGACACGCACGAGTCGAAACCTGTTCGCATCATATTGCGCGGCGCTTCACCTATTGGTCTTCATATCGATGTACTGGCTGGTTATGACAGACGTGGACCACCATTACACGGCCATGACGAACTCGGCCGTGGGCGGCTCGGTGGTGGGAGGGATCGTCGACGGAGGGATAGCGGGAGAGAAGGACTGGCCTCAGTAAGGCATGGCGGACCGGACAATGGCGGCGCCACGTCTGGCCCTGCGGGCGGGACAATCCCCAAGCGCCGTGCGGCATCATCTGCCCTCCTTCCCCCCTTTCGCGGCGCTCGGCAGGTTGGAATCAGGTTTTCGGCGGCTGGGTTGATTTAGGGTTCTCGTGACACAGTCGGCATTGCCACTCAGACGCATCCATGATGTGGCTCACAAGGCCTGCACCGCCTGGATACTGCAGAGAGTTGGGAATGAGCCTTATCTAGCCAGTGTAATATCAGGTGGATCAACCACCGACTCGATAGTGATCTGTGCATCATGTCGTGTCGGTCGGCCGGTCGATGCACTTGATTCAGGAGATCGTTGCCAAGCTGGGCATACTTTCCCTTCTTTCAACTTGTGTTCGCTACCCTTTGGTTCAGAAAAGTCAGTGGCGGTCCATGCTTGGAAGCGCCGCCGATTGAGCGCATATCCGGCCAAGTAAGTTCCTCACGCTTCACAAGTTGAGTTTAAACAAAGAAGTATCAAAGCAAGCTACCAACCTAGGTAACGTGTATTTGTTTTACCGCCGGCCATTTTGCGCGACCAGGCGGGGCCTGCAAAAGCGCATCGAGACCCTGAGCCCAATGAGGGTGCGTAGCGGGACTGTACTGCATGGCCGCGTCCGGTAATTGGAGAGGGAGGTGACGGGCTTCTGCTGAGGGACGCTCGTGGCCAATCGATGATACATCAGGGGATTTCGGCTATTTTGGGGAGGCGGGGACGCGGGAGCATAGACGCCTGGTGTAGACGCCTGGTGTTCTTCTGTGTTTCCTCGGCAGGCGGGCATGTTGACATGAGTGAGGGCGTGGCTTGCTTGGGCTGTTGAGCGAAGTTGGTAGGGATCTGAGCTACTGCTACCTATTTACTTAACTAGGTACCTTACTTGATGTGGGCATCTACAACGTGTGGTGGTGAGTCAGCTGTGTAAACATTGTGGCCTCGAGATATCATGCAGTGGACGCGGCCTGCTTTGGTCATTGGTGCCTGCCTGCCTCTCGCTTCGTGAGCATCACGAAGCAAGACGAGCATGGTGGGATATTCGTGGATTGATTGCTCGTCATTGGCATGGAAGAGAAAAAACCCGTACGGGAAACTTTTGTCATCAACCCCTTCGGTTCTCATGGGCCACGACCGTGGTTCAAGCCACAGCATCTCTCGTCTGCACCAGACTGAACGGCTTCCACAATTTTCTGTAGAACAAAATGCCATGTCCCAGAATAGATGCACCCGATCGGTTTCCCATCTTGCAGACTCCAGACTCCAGACTCTAGACTCTAGACCAGCGTTGCCGCCCGGGCGCTTGCATCCCAATGCGGCGACGATCGCCCAGCCACTCCCGGGCCAGGGAACCACCCGCACCCGCTGTGGCACGGGCGGCTGTCAGTCTTGGCTTCTCCGGATGAACATCATCCACCCGTCGAACCCACCCTCGCCTCGGTGCCATGGGATCCCCTGCTCGTGTCAGGGCGTCTGCAGAAGAGGGTACCTGCAAAGCGCTCTGGCTGGCTCGTGACACGGCGATGCGCTGCCGCCGGGTCGAGGTGTCAATCGTGGTTCCTTCCCGTGCGTGTCGTGCCTCGTGCCTCGTGGGTCGTGGGTCGTGGAACGTCGAACGTGGTATAATAGACGTTGGCGCCCTGATGCACGGCAGCGATCATGAGTCTTTTCGTTATCCATAACACTCTGCAGCTCGTGTCCATATCAAGAGGCTGGAACCTTTTCCCTTCCGTTGGTTTCATTTCGTCTCTTTCCTATTCATTCCTCTCGGTCTCTGGTTCTTTGAAATTTCCTTTCGTGCTCTGGGCAGGTGCTTCTCCATACCCGCCATCAACGACGACGCCCTCTCAGCCACCATAACTACGAATACAAAACTCGCCAAAAACACATCCTTCCATCTCCTCCGAAAACGCTTCAACTATGCGTTTCTCAACATTTCTTGCGCAGGCATTGGCCGCCACGGTCCTGGCAGCGCCCCGGTACCCGGAGCTCGAAGGCGACAACACCCCGCCCCGCAGCATGGAAGCCATGTCCGAGTACTTCACGCTCCTCGCATCCAAGGTCCAGGCAAGCCGCTACACCACGCGTGCGCCCTCGTGCGACCTCTCGCAAGCCAGAATGCCCATCGGTAAGCGCTTGTCGCGCCGTCCACTGCCACCCACTAACCAAGCCCACCAGCCCCGGAACCTCTCCCTCCTGTTTCCGAGGGCCTGACCCTCAAGCACGTCGCCGTGGGCCGCGGCACCCAGAACTACACCTGCGACGTCGGCAACGCAACGGCCGTCCCCCAGGCTGCCGGCGCCGTCGCCTCGCTCTTCAACGTCAGCTGCATCGCTGTCGCCTACCCAGACCTCCTCGCCCTGATCCCCAAGGTCTCGATGCAGTTCAACCTCTCGACCGAGCCGCTCCTCCCCGGCGCCAACAATCATCGTCTCGGACCCAGCAACGCCGTCTTCGCCGGCGATCACTTCTTCTACGACGCCAAGACGCCGTACTTCCACATCCGCGAAGGCGACCGCGAAATTGGCGACACCTACTGCGGGCTCAACTCGTCGACGCCAGCGCCTGCTGCTTCGGCTGTGGGCCAGAGGGGCGAGAAGGCCGTCGCGTGGCTGAAACTCCTCACCAAGGACGGCAGGACAGCGGGAGACATCCAGGAGATCTACCGCCTCACGACAGCCGGCGGAAGTCCGCCGAGCTCGTGCGCCGGGCAGCCTGAGAGTTTCCAGGTGCAGTATGCTGCTGCGTAAGTTTCTTCCCCCTTCTGCCCCCCCCCCACCCTATGGCTGTGCACGTCGCAGAAAGCTAACGCGCGTCTGTAGGTACTGGTTCTACGCAGGACCCGCGCCGGACACGCAGGATGAGGACGAGGACTAGGCGTCAGGTAGGAGCAGTGGGCGTATTTTGCTTGTTGGGCGGTCTGTTTGTTTTCCCTCCAATTTTCGCACCCAGCCCGGAAACTTTCGTACCAAGTTCTCCAGTGGCAGGTGCATCTTCCGATGTCAAGTAGAGTGCTCCTATAATTGCCAACTTAGCTATGTTGGCGCGTATTGAGTGGCTCCTTTTTGCGATGTCTTGAACCGTCGATTCCTGAACTTTTCATATTTATTTATCTTTCCATTTGTGGCACACTCAGATGATTTTCCCGATGGTATTCTCCGAAAGAGCATAAACACACCGTGGCTGGCACGGTCGTGGTGTTGATGGTTTTGATGGAAACTTTCAATGGTAACAGCATCGGCTGGGCGCCATTTGACTTTCTCTGGAGATCGTCGCAGCCAATGCACCCCGCTGACGACATGCCGCCCCTCCACTTAGCTGGCCCAGACACTGATCCCAACCGCCAATGAACAGCAGCATGTCGATAACGATAAGAAAATTGGATGGGGGGGGGGGGTGGTTGCTTGAACTCTGCCGCTGCAGAGGAACAGACTGTGTCGGCATTAACAAAGCCCATCGCAGGCCCTGTGTCTCAATTGCGTACAGACAAACTCCATGCTGCAATAAAACCATGACGATTTCCCATTATGGGGGTCCGATGTGCACCATGAAAACGTTGGATTGACGACACTGCGGCGTGAACCCACTTTCCTACCTTCTTACCTTGCCTATCTAGGTACCTACCTTACCTCACGTCTGTCGGGTCACTTGCGTTTCACCTTCCATCAACGACCAGCCCTTCCAGTTCTCGATAACTGGACCGGCACCACCGACTCACAAGAAGTCCGGTCCTCGGTGGGTTTCATACGATGCCGGGCCATCGATCATGGCGATCCTCAGGCCGCCGACCTGCCAGGTCCGCCTTCCTGCACAAATTACGTAGATGGCCCCCAGAAGACTCCCAAAACCACCTCGCCGGCGGCCGTCAGCCGCTCACATGGCCTGCCAACGCCATCCCCATGGAACTCTTTATCGAGATAACCTCCTTTCTCTCGAGGTCTGACGTCGAGAATCTGCGGGCTGTCAACAAGGAGTTTGAGCTCAAGCTTGCCTCTCAGTACTTTCGCAACGTCGTTGTTCCTTTCAACGCAGAGCTGTACACGGCCCAGAGCAACGAGGCAAGAGACGGCGACCATCAGACAGTCACGGCGCAGACGCTCTCA